TTTACTAAGCACTTACTTACTATGTGTCAGGCACGTTTCTGAGAACCTTAAACATCAAAAATTTTTGAACTAGGTGGTTTTATTGTCCCAATTTTGCAGATGAGAAAAACTGAGGTACAGGGAGGTTCAGCAGGTTGTCTAAGGATACACAAGTGAACGCGCTCACGTGCACTGCCGGCAGGTGGATGTAAGCACCCGCCCTCTTAACCACCACAAAATACTGCTTCATGTCCAGTTTGAATCTAAATATGGATTTACTAGAACATATCAAAAGCATTCTTGTTCTCTCCCTTTAGTTCCAGATTCAATGGATTTAAGTGTCCTCTTACAACATTACAGTTTTTGGAGCAACACAGGGATATAAGGGTGGGTCCTTTGATCATCAATGTGCTGTCATTCTTGATTTGAAGGAACAGCAATAAAACTCTCCTTCTCAAGCTTTTCATTTGATTGCTGTCAGTAAACAATCCACATGCTCTGCTTCAGGTTCTTCTGACTTCTGCATAACCTGGAAAAGGCTAACGGGACTAGCAGGAAGCCTTCTACCTGGGAAAGCTGCTATTATGTCAGGCAGTAAGTTCCCCACAAGTTCCGGATGAAAGATGCCCAGAGAAATGGATTCATGGATACACTAAGCAGTCTTGTCCTTTTCTGTTTTAATCCTCACCCAAGGATATGTTTTTGTTTGTGTGTTTGTTTTTTATTGATTTGAGAGAGGGGGAAAAGGAGAGAAATTGATGTGAGAGAGATACATCGATTGGTTGCCTCCCGTATGCGACCCGACCCAGGATCAAACCTGAAACCTAGGTATGTGCTCTGACCGGGAATTGAACCCCCAACCTTCCAATGCATGGGTGGACCCTCCAACCAACTGAGCCACATCAGCTAGAGCAATGACTGTGTTTTTATATAGAAAAGTTCACAAGTGCAAAAGAACAGCAAAACACAACCTTTCAGGACAACACGTGGTGAATCAAGGTAGCTGGTAGACATTTGAGGTATGTGTATGTTTGCTTTTTGTTTATTCCTGCATGGCTCCGGTTAGCTGGTTGCAGTTTGATGTGTGCACCTGGTGTTTCTCCTGATTAAATCAAGCATAAACAAGTCTAAAATTCATGTTATGCTCAAATCATTCCCTAACATTTCAATTGCATTAGAATGATGCTTGCTTTCAAAACAAGCATTATAGCATAACTGACTATATCATTGACTTTTAAATGTCTAGGAAAATGTTATTAATATATGCAATAATTCAATAATAAATCCCTGCCCACATGGAGCTTGCATTTTAGTAAAATTCAAATGGTGACACTAAGCCCAGTTTCGAATTATGAGGTCTATTTTAAATAGTTAAAAATATGCCCTGGCCAGTTTGACTCATCAGTTACAGTGTAGGCCTGAGGATCAAAGGGTCTTGGGTTTGATTCCAGTTCAAGGTCACGTGCACATGCCTGGGTTGCAGGTTCAATCCTGGCTCTGGTTGGGGTTGTACGGGAGACAGCCAATCAATGTGTCTCTCTCACATTGATATGTCTCTCTCCCTCTCTGTCTCTCTCTCTCTCTCCCCCCATCCCTCCCTTCTACTCTATCTAAAAATCAATGGGAAAATGTCCTAGGGTGAGGATTAGCAACAAAAATAAATAAATACATAAATAGCTAAAAATACTTCTTATGTACAAATAGACATAAACTACTTAAAACAGTTGTTGCATACTAACTTTTAAAATAATTGCAATATTTTAAAACACAGTCTAAAGTCTCAAAAATCAAAATGCAAACAAGCTTGTTATTTAGAACTTCTATCAAAGGTCAAAAACCCAGCCCTGGCCAGTTTGGCTCAGCGGTTGGAGCGTCGGCCTGCGGTACAGAGAGACCCGGGTTCGGTTCCCGCTAAGGGCACGTACCTCGGTTGCAGTTTGTCCCCGGCCCTGGTCGGTCGTGCGGGTGGCAGCCACTCGATGTGTCCCTTCACGTCGATGTTTCTCTCTCTCTCTCTTCCTCTCTCTCCCTCTGGCTCTATCTGAACAAAAAATAGAAAAGTGTCCTCGGGTGAGGATTAAAAAAAAAAAAAAGTCAAAAACCCAAAACATTTTATATGTCTGGAGTAGCGCATTACCTATTAATGTGGCTGTATCCTTCTATTTGCATAAATGCAAAGAAAGACATATAGAATGATCTTCACTTAATGTTAAGAATGGCTAGTTTTGGGTGCTGAGATACTACTTTTACTTATTTTGTACATATCAGTATTATCTGCATTCTTTATAATTTTATAAAACAATAAAGTGATTTTATATTCATTTAAAATTTTTAAATATAATAAAATCCATGAGCCCAACAACCAGAATTCACAAACATCAGCATTGTCATATTTTTGGTCTTTTTGTAACTAAAAAATTCCGCACAAAAACTGAAGATCACCATGGGCTGTTCTCCCGTTCCACCCCCCACCCATAGCTCTCTTCATATAATTGTGTTTATCTTTCCAGTCTATATAGAATAATTTTAAAAACTGCAATTTAAAATGAAATGCAAGATTAGAAATGTGTCTTATAATGTGGGATTTTTTTTCGGATTCACACTTAATTATTTTTTTCTGACAAATTATTTTAAACATATACAAAAACAGAAAATGTTATATAGTAAATCCCCACATAAACCTATTACCCAGATTCAACAATGATCAAGATATTGCCACACTGGGGTTTTCTGAAATTAAAACTAAAAACTGTAACCTGTTCATCCTACAGTTTGTTCCGTCAGTAAACAAACACCTACTAAAGAGGATAAGGAGAACTAAGATTAACTGTGCTCTTACTACGTGCCAGGTATTCACTAGGTCTTCCAAACACTGACCTATTTGGGAGAGTCACAACAACTCCGCAGCTTAATTAGTATTATCAACATTGTTCAGAGTGGAAAATGAGGCTCAGAGAGATGAAGATTCTTCCACAGGCTCAGTCAGTTGCTTATCTTTCTAGAACTTAAGCCCCACCCCCCACCCCCAATTTCAGTCCTTGTAAGAGTTACTAGGGGTTATTCTTCTGAGGTCTCATTTTGGGTTTCTAAGAATTACTCCCTGAATTCTCTGGTTTGTGGAGGATCCAACATTACTACAAGGACTTTAAGTCAGCAACTTTGGGTTATTTATTTAATTTAGAAAATACTTATTGTTACTTTCACTTTAAAACATTTTTCTTACATAAAAGAAACATTTTCCTCTTTCCTTTAAAAAAACTTAATGATTCAATATACTTTTGTAAATTCTTATGTACTCTCTGTAAGTCATAATCCCAGCTGACCAACAACCATAATTACAAAAAAATCTATTTCAGTTGCAATTTGCAGGCTTCCAAATCTGTCATGGATATTTTCCAAAGAAGTGTTGAAACTTCTTGACTGTCACGTTGCTTCCGTGTTGTTATGCTTATATACTACAGCGTGTGCTTCATAACCATCCTTGATCTTTCCTGCAGACTATTACAAAATAAACAGATATGAATGTTCCAGTGTGTCAATCCTATTAGTCAGTCTTGTGGTTAGAAGCATGGGATTTTGGTTCCCCATAACACATTTTTATTTAATAGCATAGAATATCACCATTTAGAAGCACAGGATGCACAATGATTCAGCTTTTTTGAGAGACTGATTAGATGAAAGAAACTCAACTATGTCTCCCAGTGTATACGCATACAATTTTAGCATGAATAATGTCTTACTCTAGATTTCAATTAGTATTAGTATCTCAAAATCTTCAAAAGACAAAGTCTCTCAGGGAAGAAAAGAGACTTAAAGTTCATGTGGGATCAGCCAGACCTCATATTGCAAATGTAGAAAAAGGTCCAATTTTTGTTTTGTTTATATTTTGTTTTCATATAGTTCTTGTTTGGTTTTCTATCTCCACAAAGAACAATGCCAACTTACTGTACTGTCACACCAGGGATATGTACATGCAACAGTCCCTGGTATTAAAAACAACAGAAAAGAAAATAGCCACTGAACCTTAGTTGAACAGAGAGCAATACTTTTTTTAAGGACGTCATAAAACTCAATTGCAATGTGCAAGCTTGCAAATTCAAAACACCTAACTACAGGAGTTACAGTAAAAAGTTGGGAAGGAAGATTGTCACATTCTAAAAGTTTAGTCAAATTAAATTATGTTTGAAAAGGGGGCTTCTAATTCTACTTTTTCATTTATTATTTACATATAAAAATTTTCATTTTTGCAGATGTCTCCTGGCTATAACAATTTCGTTTTTGTCATAGGCCTATTACTGCATTTTGATCTGTGCCTTTAATCTTTTCCTAAAATACAGACCCTCAATATGTATTATACCTCTGTAACCGACCTTGGTGATGAGGTAATTTCAGTGGTTTTCAAATTTCTTTTTTCTTTCCTTCCTTCCTCTACTTATTTTGGTAGGGCGATCCCCAGATAGAACAGGTCAGGGTGACCTTTGATGAGGCAGCTTTCTCTTGCCCCAAATCAGTGCCCCCAACCCTAGTCAGGCCCCTTACAGACGAGGGACAGGCAACTCCCAGTCGCACTGCTCGACTTCGCCAAGGTGAAATCTAAGACTGTCAGGTCCTCTTGGACCAGCTTTTCTCCCTCGAAAATCCGGCCTTTTTCTTTGGACTGCAAAGATGCCTGGGAGAAGAGTGGGACCAACAGAAGAGATGGGGGCTGCGCTTCGCCTCTAAAGACAGCTCCAGCCCCGGGGCCGCGCGCGCGAAGCCCGCAGCGGGGGGCCCTCCGCGGCGAGCGGCCGCCCGGACCCCAGGCTCGCAGCTGGCCTGAGCCGGGCCGGGCGCCGAGCGGCGGCGCCAGCAGCGCGGACCGCGGGGCAGCGAAGCACAGGCGCTCCCGGAGGCCGGCGGCCGCAGCCCCCATCCCGGGGCGGGGCCGGGGCAGAAGCCGCGCTGGCAAAGTTGCCCCAAGCACCACGAGGTGCCAGGGTGCGGACAGCTCCGGAAGACGGCACCCCGTGATCCCTTCTTACCTTTCCTCCGGCCCAGCGCAGAGCGCCCGCTTCATGCCCGCAGAAGTTTCCCAGCCCGGCGCGCTGGGCCCCGCCGGCCCGCGAGGAAGCACCGTGCGCCCGGACCGCGCGCCTCGCCGCCACCCAGCCAGCCCGCCCCGCGCGGGCGCACGGTGACCGCGGGCAGCTCCGGTGCGGCGCCGCGGCGCGGACGGGGCCGGGCAAGGACGCGCGCCCCGGTGCGCTGTGGGGAGGGCGGGGGTGGCGGCCGCCGCGTCGGGCCGGGCAGCCCCAGCCTCCCGGGAGCAAGCGCGGTGGCCCCCGCTTTACCGGGCTCCTATAAACCTCCAGGCTGCTGCGGACAAAGTTTGCAAAGACCAGTTTTCGGAAGCGAGCACTGCTCACGATCAAATAAACCTGATATTTGCTATTATAAGAGACAGAGAGCGATGGAGATGACTACTGGAATGAAAAGCAACTGTAAATGTCCTCTCACTCTCCCACCTTGTCCCCCCCACACACACACACCCCCACACATCATACACTAAATGAGATATATGACGAGAGGGGGATGGGAATATTGGATGTATAGAACAGAGAAAGGTTGATATCTTGATTTAAATCAACGGACATCTCAGAAAAGCAATTGGGTAAAGATCATGGACAATCATAGGAAAAAATTTTAAGTGCAAACAGAAAGTTCAAATCAGTAAGGCACCAAATGCATTCAAGTTTAGGCAAACATCAAACGCATTTTTTTCATCCTGTGAAATTAGTGGTTTTGTTTAGTTTGGGGGATTGAACAATAACGTGGTTGGTGAGGGACCAATGAAACACAACTTCCTCAAGGATTTCCATGTCCTCCCTTCTCTCAATACCCTAGCTTTCATTTTATAGAAACAAGTTGGTGACAGTGATGCCAGGAACTAACATTTATTGAGTAATCAATGTCTCTTTTGGTCCCCAGAAAAACTGCAAAAGTAACAAACACAAATGGTAAAATTAACCTCCTTGAATTGATGCTGGAACTGAGAGTAAAAACCCTATTCCTGCATCCCACATGTGGCTAGAAACCACTTGACTCCCAGGCGTTTGCTCTTACTCTTCATTCCAGGGATTTACTCAGAAATGTTGGAAATACAGTTTAAAGTGAATCTAATCCGTGGTCTATACGTATAACTTTAAAGTGGAAGATCATGAGCTTTGACATTAGGTATACTCCAGGTTTAAATTTTATTTCTTTTTTAGTGTTTCACATTGCAATTTTTAATTAAAAATTCAAAAGCGCCCAGCCGATGTGGCTTAGTGGATTGAGCGTTGTCCCATGGACTGAGTGGTCCTGGTTCAATTCCTGGTCAGGGCACATGCCTGGGTTGCAGGCTCAATCCCCAGTAGCAGGCGTGCAGGAAGCAACAGATCCATGTAGCTCCCTCACATAGATGTTTCTATCTCTCTCTTTAAAAAAACACCACAAAACAATAAAAACATATTTTTAAAAAATTTCAGAAACAACAAAGATATGCACATATGACAGACATACATTTTAAGGTGGCCCCATGATTCCCACCACCTGCTGGTGTTCACATCTTTGTAGGATCCTCTCCCCTTGAGTGCACTTGGGACCTGTGACTTGCTTGTAAACAATAAATGTAGCAGAGTTGATGGATGTTACTACAGTGACAACATTATGCTCCAATAGACTCTGTCTTGCTAGCATAGTCTCTCTAGAGACTGTCCTTTCTGGCTTCATGAAGTAAGTGCCAATGTTGGGGAAGTCCACCTGGCAAGAACCTGTAGGTGGCTTCTAGGAGCTGAAAACAGCCTCTGTATAACAGTCAGCAAGAAGCCAAGGTCCTCAGTCCTACAAACAAAAGGAAATGAATTCTGTCAGCCATCTAAGTGACCTTGGAATTGGGTTCTTCCCCAGTAAAGCCTCTGGATGATAATGCAGATCAGAGGACACCTTAACTGGTCTGTGAAACACTAAGCACAGGATCCAGTTAAGCTGTGCCTGGACTCCTGACCCACCTAAATTATGAGATAATAACTGTGCATTATTTTAAGCTGTTAAGTTGGTGGTAACTAACAACTGTATGTGCTGTTCAGGTAGTCAACATATTAGTGCACACAGTGTAGTTTTTTCTTTGGTGAATTTTGTGCTAAATGCTACTGCCTTATTGCATTCTGATTTTTTTTTCCTTACTCCTTCACATATATGTCCCTGACTTGATCTTCATTGCAGAGTCTCCATGACACAAAAAAAACCTCTAATGAAATGGTGCCCCACAGATCAGCCACAGGTCTAGGGCTTCCTGGGACTTCCAGCTGCATTTCTGCTTCAAAGATTATGAGTCTGAGATTGTAGCCTTTATCCCTCCAGGTCCTTTGGGGTATTTTCTTAACTAAATCTCTTGGTCTGGACAAAAACACAATCGACTCAGCTTACACAACTCAAGTTTCAACTGCAATGTGAAGCACACTTAGGGTGAGGAACCAGGAGCAGGTTAAGTCTAAACCAAGTCCCAGCTAATCCACTTATCTTGGGAAACCTGTAATTTGAGGCTTCTAGAGTCTTCCTTTTTCTTTCTCCTTGACATCAACTTGCTCCTTCTCTTGCTTCAACCGTTGAGGTTTAGGTACTTGCTTTCTAACCGCCTCTACTTCCACATATGAATCCAGCCTGGCTTGCTTACCACCCCTCCCTCTTCCTTCCCTTCTTCTCTCCTTCCCTCCCTTCCTCCCCACTTCCTTTTCCTTCCCTTCCTTCTTCTGTTTTTTCATTTTTTTAGTTCCCATGTAATTCTCCAAAATTATCTTTCTCTATATCCATATTTTCTTTTTATTATTATAATTTTTTTCTTTTTGACTCTAAATAATTCTTTTATTTTTCAATTACAGTTGACATACAATATTATATTAGTTTCAGGTGTACAACCCAGTGATTAGATATTATATAACTTACTAAGCAATGACCTAGATAAATCTAGTATCCATCTGACATCATACATAGTTATTATAATATTATTGATTATATTCCCTATGCTGTACTTTACATCCCCATGACTATTCCATAACTACCAATTTGTACTTCTTAATCCCTTCACCTTTTATCCATCCCCCCGCCCCCCCAAATTCCCTGCCATCGGCAACTGTCAAAATGTTCTCTGTATCTATGGGTCTGTTTCTGTTCTGCTTGTTTATTTTGTTTTTAGATTCCACATATAAGTGAAATCATATGGCATCTATCTTTCTCTGTCTAAACTATTTTACTCAGCACAGTATCCTCTAGGTCCATCCATAGCATGATTTCATTCTTTTTTATGGGTGAGTCATATTCCATTGTATATATGCACCACATCTTCTATATTCATTCTTTTATTGACGGACACTTGGGTTGCTTCCATATCTTGCCTATTGTAAATAATGCTGTAATGAACATGTGAATGCATATATGTCTTTTCAATTTAGTGTTTTGGGTTTCTTCAGGTAAATATCCAGAAGTGGAATTGCTGAATCCGTCTTCGTCTCTTGTTATATAGCCTTTGTTTTAAGGTCTGTTTTGTCAAAAGCTTCTGCTCAGCAAAAGATACACTCATGAAAATGGAAAGGCTACTCACAGTATGGGAAAGCATAATTGCCAATGATATATCAGATAAGGGGTTAATTTCCAATATATAGAGAGTGCTCATACAACTCAACAAAAGGAAGACAAAGAACCCAATTAAAAAATGGGCAGAGGAACTGAATAGACACCTCTCCAAACAGGACATACCAGTGGCTAAGAGACATATGAAGGAATGCTCAACATCACTAATCATCAGAGAGATGCAAATTAAAACAACAATGAGGTATCACCTCACACCTGTCAGAATGGCCGCCATCAACAAATCATCAAACAACAAGTGTTGGGGAGGTTGTGGAGAAAAGGGGACCCTAGTACACTGCTGGTGGGAATGCAGACTGGTGCAGCCACTATGGAAAACACTATGGTGTTATCTCAAAAAATTAAAAATTGGCTCTGGTCGGTTTGGCTCAGTGGTTAGAACATCAGCCTGCGGTCCAGAGAGACCCGGGTTTGGTTCCCGCTAAGGGCACGTACTTCGGCTGCAGTTTGTCCCCAGCCCTGGTTGGGTTGTGCGGGTGGCAGCCACTCGATGTGTGCCTTTCACGTCAATGTCTCTCTCTCTCTCTCTCTCTCTCTCTCTCTCTCTCTCTCTCTTCCTCTCTCTCCCTCCCACTCTATCTGAACAAAAAGTGAAAAAGTGTCCTCGGGTGAGGATAAAAAAAAAAAATTAAAAATTGAACTTCCATTTGACCCAGCGATCCCACTTCTAGGAATATACCCTAAGAAGCCTGAAACACCAATCAGAAAGAATATATGTACTCCCATGTTTGTAGCAGTACTATTTACAATAGCTAAGATCTGGAAATAGCCCAAATGTCCATCAGTAGACGTATGGATAAAAAAAGCAGTGGTACATATACACAATGGACTACTATGCAGCTGTAAGAAAGAAGGATCTCTTATCCTTTGAGATGACATGGAGGGACCTGGAAAGTGTCATCCTAAGCAAATCAGGCCAAACAGAGGAAGACAAGTATCATATGATCTCACTTAATTGTGGAATATAATGAACATAACAGTCTGAGGAATGGGGTAGCCGCAGAGATGTGGAAGTGGGGTACAGACTGACTATTCCCAGAAGAGGGGGTGGGGGGAAAGATAAACCACAGAACTTATATGCATGTGTGCATGAACAATGGACATGGACACAAAGCTGGGGAGAGGGCGCGGAGGGAGGGAATCAGTGGGGGGAAAAGGGGAAACATCTGTAACAAAAATTAATTAATTAATTAAAATTTTTTTTAAAAAGTCTGTTTTGTCTAGCATAAGTATTGCTACCCCAACTTTTGTTTGTTTCCATTTTCATGAAACATCTTTTTTCATTTCTTTACTTGTAGTCTGTGTGTGTCTTTCAAACTGAAGTGAATCTCTTGAATACAGCATATATAAGGGTCTCATTTTGCTATTCATTCAGCCTCAATATATCTTTGATTGGAGCATTTAGTTCA